GAACTTGTTCTCCCTGAGACACTCAAGATCCACCCTGTCTTCCACGTGTCCCTGTTGAAGCCGGTAGTCCCTGATGCCTTCCCGGAACGGGAATCCAGGCCCCCGGAGGCCGTAACGGTTGAAGAGGAAGAAGAATTCGAGGTGGAGGCAATCCTGAAGTGCCGACGAAGGGGGGGCCAGACCCAATTTCTCATCAAGTGGAAGGGCTACGGCCCTGAGGACAATTCGTGGGAACCAGCCCATAATGTCCATGCACCTAGACTTGTCCGGAGGTTTCTTTGTGATCACCCGTGGTGGAGAGATCGGGTGGGCATCCGGAGGTTGCCCGTAGGGGGGGGGGCAATGTCAGGGATCCCCTCGATCCCTGCCGCGATGGTCCCGGCGCAGGCGCACTGCTCCGCCCTGTACACGGGCACTAGGTCCGGGCCGGCCGCGGCGTTCGAGTTCGCGCATGCGCATAGAAGCCGCGGCCGCCCGCTGGGCACCAATGGCAGCGCAGGGCGGGATATTTAAAGGTCCCTGAGCTGTCATTTCGTTGCCTTCTGGTCTTACCTGCTTCCTGTGATTCTGTACCTGTGCCTTGTAAGTTTATTGACCCGGATTGTTCTTGACCTGCTGATTTCTCCTGCCCAGACCCTTGCTTGCCTGACCTCTCTCCCTGGATGCCCCTCATTAGATCTGACCTCCTGTTGCTGACCTGGCGTGTGACCCGACGATTCTCTGCCTGCTCCCTTGTACCTTACCGTCCTCTACGTTACCAACTCGGCCTGTCTGACTTCGCACTTGCTCAGCCATCCATCCATCCATCCCATCGGGGTCACCCGACCTCCTCACATCTGGCTCTCCCTGGTTGGAGCCCCTGGCGAACACCCCTACCACTGACAGGTGTGCTCAGTAGTGGCGACCTGGTCTCGGGGTACTACAAGTCCATCCCCACCATCAGGGGCCCTGGTGAACAAGTACCCTGGGGCTTAGACTCCGCGCTCTGGGCACGCCTGACCAGTGGAGTGCTAGTGGTGCCGCTCGGCGGTCCCTCACAGGTGTCCATGGCCGTCTTCCCAGAACCACGCCCTCCATGTGCCCCCTGGGTCATGCACCAGGCACGATCTGTGTCCTTTGGAGACGGCTAATCACAGTTCCAGGTAAAGGGCCAATCAGAGCGGTCTTTTACCATGTAATCAGCTGTGTCCAATCACAGCTGATCACATTGTAAATAGGACATGCTTTGTACCAGTGCTATCAGTACCCATCAGTGATGACTGTCAGTGCCCATCAGTGATGCCTGTCAGTGCCGCCTATCAGTGCCACATATCGGTGCAGCCTCATCAGTGCCTCTTCATCAGTACCCATCAGTACAGCCTCATCAGTGCCCATCAGTGAAGGAGAAAAATCACAAAACTTTAAAACAAAAACTAAGAAAACCTTTTTTTTTTTTTTCTTCAAAAGTTTCATTTGTTTAGCAAGACATAAAAACCCCAGTGGAAAATAATTACCACCAAAAGATTGCTCTATTTGTCTAAAAAATAGACAGTGTAAATAGGAAATGCCGGCTATTGACAGTCCTCTCCTCACGCTGACCTGCGTGTGAGGAGATGAGAGCTGGTAAGTGGCATTCCTCAGATGGGACATCTACACTGATCATCAGGGCACTAATCATCAGTTCTCTGTGTAGTCAATAGTGCCCATCAGTGCTTTGTACCAGTGCTATCAGTACCCATCAGTGATGCCTGTCAGTGCCCATCAGTGATGCCTATCAGTGCCACATATCGGTGCAGCCTCATCAGTGCCTCTTCATCAGTACCCATCAGTGCAGCCTCATCAGTGCCCATCAGTGAAGGAGAAAAATCACAAAACTTTGAAGAAAAAAAAAAGGTTTTCTTAGTTTTTGTTTTAAAGGTTTTGGTCTTTTTTTATTTGTTTAGCAAGACATAAAAACCCCAGTGGCAAATAATTACCACCAAAAAAAAAGCTCTATTTGTCTAAAAAAAAGAACAAAAATTTAGTTTTGGTACAGTGTTGCATGACTGCGCAATTGAATTCAAAATGCAACAGCGCTGAAAGCTTAAAATTGGTCTGGGCAGGAAAGCAGGCAAGTGGTTAAAGCGGTATGGAACTTTATAAACAATTTTTTTTTAAAATGGTCCCCCTGCAGGTCAATGCTGTAATGTGGTAGCATACACCATATACTAGCACACGGCGACAGATATCTCAAATAGAGCTCTCCAGCATTGAGCGGTTACTACTCCCACGCTATCTCTGCCCGGTCTTCACTCTATGTTTGCTCTCTGTGGACGCTTGAATGGCCAGGCCGCAATGACATCACTCGCGTGCACCGGCACAGATGTCCCTTCACTACAGCACAGAGCAGGTGCCGTAAATGTGATCTGACCTGGGCATGTGCAGCTCAGATTACATTAGTGCTGATAGGCCAGAAGAGACAATTAAAGGCTACTGTAAGTGCATACCACAAACAAAGGATTTTCTCTAAAGGAGATTGTACCATCAGAATATATAGTGTATGGTCACCTTTATACACCGAAAAGTAACTAGTTGTGCTTTCAGTGCCAATAATTGTTAATGGAACTCCAACTGTAGAAGCAAACACACATTTTGACACGTGAAAAAAACACACATCAAACGCGGTAAAACACACAGAAAAAAAGCGTACAAACCGTGACACACTTAGATGTCCCATGAGCTGCTTTGCCATGCATAAGGCAACCCTCCTATGTACTTGTACTAAGCTGGCCATACACTATACAACTTCAATGTGCAATCTCCTTTAGATTTACCAATACTATATACTGTAATATTATTATTATTATACAGTATTTATATAGCGCCAAAAGGTTTGCTCAGCGCTGTACATTATAGTGGGGGACAGAGCATGAGACAATACAGTAACAAAAAATACACGAGGGGTTCGAGGGCCCTGCTCTTTCGAGCTTATAATCTAGGAGTAATAGAATATTCTATATTGTAAAATATAAATGTAGTACTACCCTCTTGGGGGCCACTGGATTTTTGGGTTCCCCTCAGCTCTGCACAGCCAGGCAACATGTATTTTCCACACTGTTATCCACAGTCAGTCCATGAGCTTGGTTTTTGTTGTTTTATTAGAGGTTAACAACTTGGATGGGGTCAAGGGGCTATGGGATGCCCAATGGAACTGTAACAACCTGGAGGAAAACTTCTTAGACACAAAAAGGACAAAAAGCCAGCAAAATCACAAAAAAAAAAACAGGTCCTAAGCTTTCTATTCCTTCAGGAGTGGTCCTTCTCTTCTAAAAGATCAGCACACAGTCTTTATAAGGGGCACTTGGTCCACTTAAGTGAACCTCCTCAGACCCCAGATGAAAATCTCCACATCCACCTGGCTGTCCTGAGAGTAACCCAGGGCAAGGGATTACGAGACACACAAGTAATGTAGTCCCATTGAGAACTATTTGGGTATTGCACCTGACACCCACCCTCTCCTTTCACCCACTCAGGGGGTGTAGAAGAACTCACACTGTCCTGTTTCTGTAGCTTTAAAGGTTGAAGCTCCTTTCAGGCCTTGTGCAGGGCTGGCTCCTTTACCCAGTAGACTGTGGGACAGTGGAGGTCTTTCTTTCCAGCTTGCAGCATGCAGGCTGACCTCACCCTCCTCTGGGGTCCTCTCCCAGGCTCCACACCAGCAGCATGTCCTCACTCCATCTTCCACCTGACTCCCCCAGCTGACCAGGCTCTCTCATTTTAAACGCTGACCTAGCCACCATGCCAGGTGCCTAGGGATTGGCCAGATTCCCCTAAGTATGCAGATCAGCCCCTCCACACCCCTGCCCACTGCTTCTAGAAACTTCTCCAAGTTTCTAGAACAGGGGAGGCATCAGAGAACTAAGCTGCCGAACCCTTCAGCCCTAACCTAAAGTAACCTTGCTGACTCGCTCCCAGGCTGACTCATACCCGGGTTTCTAGCAAGCCTCTAACTATGCACAAAAAACCTATCTTTCACTAGAGGGTGTTACATAAAAGATAATGTTAAGATGAGTAATAGATACCAAACATGTCACACTCTAAAATTGCCCATACAATGGCAACAAACGATGTAAATCTTACTATCCATAGTGGACTCTGAGGCCTCGTGCACACCATATGTGTAGAAAAAACTTATGGAAACTGACATGCAGATTTCACTTGCATAGACATCAGCTTCCATGCACTTTCAAAGATTTTTATACAAGTTGCAGATTCCTGCACAGAAAAAATCTGCAGTTAGCTGCTCCAATTGCTTTTAAAAGACAACCGACCGTCGGCTCTTCAAAACGGTACCAGCAACTGCAGGCATCATCCCGATACAACCACTTGAAGTCCAGCGATGTACGGGTACATTGCTCTGAAAGTGGCTGGAGATATTTTATTATTTTCAGTGTCTTCTTACTGCATCTTCAGGGACACCAACCAATGGCAGAGTTTTGTTAAGAGAGCAGATTGGCCAAAACTTTGTTGTTGAAGATCTCAGTACTGGGGGATAAGATAAAGCACAAATTCTACATTCACCTCACCCCAATCCAGTATTCTTGGCATTCTCCAGTATTCTTAAAGTGTACTTGTAGCCAATTAAAAAAAAAATTGGATAGGATAGGGAAGGGTTAGAACCTCAGAGATGGTTTGCATAAGTACAGGAGGTGATACTGCTGTCTACCCTATCCAAAACAGATAAGTTGTTAATGGTGTCTCTGTTCCCACCAGGCAGATTCACCCTATGGGGGAGATTTACTAAAACTGGTGCACTCAGAAATTGGTGCAGCTGTGCAGGGTAGCCAATCAACCTCTAGCTATACCTTGTTCAATTGAGCTTTGGCAATCAAACCTGGAAGCTGATTTGTTCCTATGCAGAGGTGCACCAGATTTTGCGCTTTCTGGTTTTAGTAAATGTGAAAAAGAGAGGAAGGCGCCTCTAAGTGCAGTATTGACAATATATTGGTGAACATAGATAAATTGCACTTACAAGGTAAATAGTTAAAAACAGGGGCGGACTGACCATTTGGAAACTCGGGCACTGCCCGAGGGCCCGGGGTCAGTAGGGGGCCCCATGAGATGCCCCTGGTACCTTTTTCATAGGCTTTTTTGAGTTTGGGCAAGGACACAGGGGCCCCATGATCCCCTATTGCCCGGGGGCCCCATGAGTTGTCAGTCCGCCCCTGGTTAAAAAGACTCATCATGTGGTGTAATAAGATCCAGGTGAGACATCCAGCCGTCCAGCAGCAAAATCTGTCTATAGGATCAGGAAGTAAAGCCCAGGATGTGCCTGTGCATCAAAAATTGAGTATTTTTTAACTATTTATCTTGTAAGTGCAATGTATCTATTGTTCACCAATAAATTGTCAATACTGCACTTAGAGACGCCTTCCTCTCTTTTTCATGTTTACTGCATTAGAGTCTTGCTTCCACTCTAAGAAGAGCTGCCTCAGTGTTACTGCTTCCATCCATCCATCCCTGATATCCATCTGACACCTTTATCCTACAGCTACAGAGGTTGGGCTCTAACAAGCGCACCCTATATAATATACATTTTCTGGTTTTAGTAAATAACCCTTTATGTGTCCTGATGATCATTGACATCAAGACAGAAAAGGATAGGAAATCAACCTTTACAGAACAAGAGGTATGTCTTCTAATAGAAACACCTGTTCTGGTGACATTTGTTTAAGGCTAAGTACACACTGGTGGCAGTTCCTATTGCTGCCTTTTAAATTATTATTATTATACAGGATTTATATAGTGCCAACAGTTTGCGCAGCGCTTTACAAAATGAAGGTAGACATTACAGTTACAATACAATTTGGTACAAGAGGAAACAGAGGGCCCTGTGCGCTAGAGCTTACAATCTAAGAGGAAGGGCTGAGTGATACAAAAGGTAATAGCTGTGGGGGATGAGCTGATGAAGGAAATAAAAATCAGTTTACTAGTTCGAAGCAGAATAGGCGTCTTTAAAGAGAAGGATTTTCAGGGATCATCTAAAGGTGGATAGATTAGGAGATAGTCTGACAGATTGGGGTAGGGAGTTCCATAGGATGGGAGAAGCTTAGAAGTCCTGGAGGCGAGCATGGGAGGAGGTTACACGGGAACTAGAGAGCACTTTATTGTAGATCCTTGCCTGCAGACCAATTAGTGAATAGGACACACCAAAAATGAGAGATCATTTTTACAAATTAGATAAAAATGCCAACGGTCTCCTAACTACTGCCATGTGATGTCTGTTCTCTGCATATAAATGTCTTTGACTAAATAGCTCATTAAACAACTAACCTGCTCCATAAGACCTTCAGGGTCCCAAGTCTTTTAGCAAATACTAATGCACTCAAGCTGCCAGTTTGACCCTGTAATTATCCGTCTGTTGACATCGATTTTAGGAAATCAAATTAATTTACAAGTCAAATGAGTCTGGTCTTACAGGAGCTAATAATTTACAATATGATTTTATTTAGCAAGGAGAAAAGTGCCTTTTTTGGGTGTGCGTGGATGGAGAAAGGAAGCTTTAACACAAGGTTTATCAAAATCAAACTGGCTTTAAAACTATTCATTCCGTTATTGATCCCGTAACATCGATCTGTCAGTTGTGTTATTAATGTTCCATTCGTTCAACTCTGTGGATATGTCTGGTGTTCAGAGGACACAATGTCGGGTAGGCTGAAGTGAACAAAGCCCAGCTATTCTTCCTCCAGCCGGAGCTGACTGCAAGCCCTGGGTAATAGCTATCGATTTTACAATTCTACTTTACCACATATCCTTTGTACGGTTTACCATATTATATTTATAATGATTGTGCATATACAGTATATTCAATTTTTTTTTTAAGTTTATTTCCTTACTTTCAATAAATATTACAATTTCAGGCCACAACTAAGAACATGGTACTTCTAAACTGGTTTTAAATATAGTCTTTTTAATTTTAATCTCAGCCTAAAAACCACAAACCAGTGTTATGGGGCTGACCAAATCTTTGATAAACATTCTAATTTAATGATCCTGAATAATTGTGCAAGACTGAAGGTAAGGCTGGAATTCATCTTTAAGAACCCCAATCATATCATAATCAGGATATCATATTACCCCGATACAAATCATTAGTAATACCTCATCTGGAATATGCAGTTCAGTTTTGGGCACCAATTCACAAAAAGAACATTGGGGAATGGTGACAGTTTGAAACAGAGAGGTACTTTTCATTGCATTAAATTACAAATGTGCAGCATTTTATATACAGTTGTGTTCAAAATAATAGCAGTCAGACATCATTAACCTGATCAATCACTGTTTTTGGTAGAAATGATATTTCTACATGGCAAATAATTTACTAGCAGGTGTAGTAGAGTAATAGAAATCCAACAGACCCAACAGTCATGACATGCATGCTGCTGATTCTCTGTAATTGAATCACTAATTGAAAGGGGCATGTTCAAAATAATAGCAGTGTGGAGTTCTATTAATGAGGTCATTCATTCTTTGAAAAACAGGTGGCAATTATTGCCCTTATTTAAGGAAGGAAGGCAGCAAATGTTGAACATGCTGGTTACAGTGCATTTCTCTCTGAAATTCTGAGGAAAATGGGTCGTTCCAGACATTGTTCAGAAGAACAGCGTACCTTGATTAAAAAGTTGATTGGAGAAGGGAAAACATATAAAGAAGTGCAGAAAATGATAGGCTGCTCAGCTAAAATGATCGCAAATGCTTTAAAATGGCAACCAAAACCTGAAAGATGTGGAAGAAAGTGAAAAACTACCATTTGAATTGATAGAAGAATAACCAAAATGGCAAGGACTCAGCCAACAATCAGCTCCAGGAAGATCAAAGAAGGTGTAAAGTTCCCTGTGAGTACTGTTACAATTAGAAGACGCCTATGTGAAGCCAAGCTATCTGCAAGAAGCCCCCGCAAAGTCCCACTGTTGAAAAAAAGACATGTGCTGAAGAGGTTACAATTTGCCAAAGAGCACATTAACTGGACTAAAGAGAAATGGCGCAACATTTTGTGGACTGATGAAAGTAAGATTGTTCTTTTTGGGTCTAGTGGCCGGAGACAGTTTGTCAGACGACCCCCAAACACTGAATTCAGGCCACAGTACACTGTGAAGACAGTGAAGCATGGTGGTGCAAGCATCATGATATGGGGATGTTTCTCATACTACGGTGTTGGGCCTATTTATCGCATACCAGGTATCATGGATCAGTTTGAATACATCAGAATACTTGAAGAGGTCATGCTGCCTTATGCTGAAGAGGAAATGCCCTTGAAATGGGTGTTCCAACAAGACAACGACCCCAAACACACAGAAACATGCAACACCTTGGTTCCAGACCAACAAGATTGACGTTATGGAGTAGCCAGCCCAATCCCCGGATCTTAATCCAATAGAAAACTTGTGGGGTGACATCAAAAATACAGTTTCTGAGGCAAAACCAAGAAATAGAGAAGAACTGTGAAATGTAGTCCAATCATCCTGGGCTGGAATACCTGATCACAGGGGCATAAGTTGGTTGACTCCATGCAACACAGATGTACAGCAGTTCTCAGAAACAGTGCTTATACAACTAAATATTCATTAAGTGATTCAAAGGAAAGCAAAATCTTCAAACATTTTTCAGTTTATATAGTGAATGTTTGCGTTTGTAAAGAAGAATACAAACACTGCTATTTTTTTGAACAGTCTAATATTCACTTTTCTTCAATTTTTTTAGAGGAACAAAACAAATTTGATCTATTTTTCTTCATGTTTTGATTTGGAATAGAATGTGTAGTGTTCCCAATGCATTTGTGTGTATGGAAATAAAAGCTATTAGAAGGATTTTGTGCTTTAGTCACTTTTTTCAACACACTGCTATTATTTTGAACACAACCAGGGCGGACTGACCATTTGGAAACTCGGGCACTGCCCGAGGGCCCGGGGTCAGTAGGGGGCCCCATGAGATGCCCCTGGTACCTTTTTCATAGGCTTGTTTGTGTATTTGGGCAAAGATACAGGGGCCCCATGGTCCCCTATTGCCCGGGGGCCCCATGAGTTGTCAGTCCGCCCCTGAACACAACTGTATGTCAAATTAATTTTTCAGTAAAAGTGGAGTTTCCCTTTAACCCTCTTATCATCACCGCTGTATACTACCTTACATCGGTGGTGGAGGTGGCTGGAGGCTTATGCAGACTTCGGGCAGCTGCAGTGTACAGAAATATACAGTATGTGTAAATCTGACAAGCTGTCAAGCTGTAAGTGTCAGTATCCCCTTCCCACCATGCACCCCTGCCATGATTCCGGGACTGTGCAGCCATGGGCTAATGACCCAGAAGCAATGTGTAAAATGTCACCTCTGGGTCCTGGTTTTAATTTTCCCAGCCACACTGGATCTTAACTTCATTAGCTTCACTGGAGGGACATCAGGGGTCTAAAAAAGACTTATTAAAGAGAACCTGTCACCAAAAAACAAAGAAACAATACATGGGGACTTTTGTCCCCTATGTAATGAAAAATAGAATTTAGTGGAAACAAATGTGTAAATAATTAAAGTTCCACCCTCCACATAGTAGCATAAACAAATGTATATAAACACATCAGGGTGTCTATGCACAAGAATGTTGATTGTGACACTCTTGTTACATATCGCTGTGCACACCAGAGGGAGATCAATCATTCTAGGCCCAATTTTTATGGTTAACTCAAAACTGATGACTTGTAGGGGCTTTTAAAGCATTGCCTATGGAAAATGTATTGTACCGAAGTTACAACCATTAAAAAAAAAAAAAGTTATAATCCTACACCCACAGTTGATCCAGAGGAAGGCATAAAAACCCAGCAAAGCATGATCCAATTTGCTCCTGTTGGGAAAAAAATTCCTTCCTGATCGCCTGAGAGGCAATCGGATATTCCCTGGATCAACTTTACCTATAAATGTTAGTATCCAGTTATATTCTGTGTATCTAGGAAACAATCCAGCACTTTTTTAAAGCAATCCACTGAGCTGGCCAGAACCAACTCTTGAGGGAGTCTATTCCACATTTTCACAGCTCTCACTGTGAAGAAACCTTTCCGTGTTTAAATTAAATTTCTTTTCCTCCAGATGTAAAGAGTGCCCCCTTGTCCTCTGTGATGACCTCAGGGTGAATAGCTCTACACCGAGTTCCCTATATGAACCACTGATGTATTTATACATGGAGATCATATCCCCCCTTATGTATTATACATGGAGATCATATCCCCCTTATGTATTATACATGGAGATCATATCCCCCTTATGTATTATACATGGAGATCATATCCCCCTTATGTATTATACATGGAGATCATATCCCCCTTATGTATTATACATGGAGATCATATCCCCCCTTATGTATTATACATGGAGATCATATCCCCCTTATGTATTATACATGGAGATCATATCCCCCCTTATGTATTATACATGGTGATCATATCCCCCCTTATGTATTATACATGGTGATCATATCCCCCCTTATGTATTATACATGGAGATCATATCCCCCCTTATGTATTATACATGGAGATCATATCCCCCTTATGTATTATACATGGAGATCATATCCCCCCTTATGTATTATACATGGAGATCATATCCCCCCTTATGTATTATACATGGAGATCATATCCCCCTTATGTATTTATACATGGAGATCATATCCCCCTTATGTATTATACATGGAGATCATATCCCCCTTATGTATTATACATGGAGATCATCCCCCCTTATGTATTATACATGGTGATCATATCCCCCCTTAATCTCCTCTTCTCAAGAGAGAATAATTTCAGTTCCTCTAATCTTTCCTCATAGCTGAGCTCCTCCATGCCTCTTATCAGTTTGGTTGCCCTTCTCTGTACTTTCTCCAGTTCCCCAATGTTCTTTTTGTGTTTGTCATTGTTTCACAGACACATTCAACTTTGAGCTTTGATGTGTTGGGTATGTATTTACTCAGTGCACCCTCATCTTGTGAAAAAAACAAATGGGTAACATATTATGTTTATGTACCCTAAAATTACCTTTAGTATGCTTTTTTTTTACTGAATTTTTGTGTTTCATAAACCATTGCGCTAATATCATGTGACATAAAAAATTGGAACTTCCACTTTTATTCTCTGAGATGTCTGCTTTCAGAAAATATGTAATGTTTGGGGGTTTAACCGCTTCCATACAGGGCACTTTTACCCACTTCCTGCCAAGGCCAGTTTTCAGGTTTCAGCACTCTCAGACTTTGAATGACAATTGCGCGGTCAAACAACACTGTACTCAAACTAAAATTTTATCCTTTTCTTCGCACAAACATAGCTTTCTTTTGGTGGTATTTAATCACCACTGGGGTTTTTATTTTTTGCTAAGTTAACAAAAAAAGACCAAAAATTTTGAAAAAAAAAAAAACCCACGTTTTTTGTTTCTGTTATAAAAGTTTGTAAACAAATAATTGTTCTTCATAAATTTAGGCCGAGATGTATTCTGCTACATGTCTTTGGTGAAAATAACCCAAATTAGGATGTATTATTTAGTTTGTAGGAAAGTTATAGAGTTCACAAACTATGGTATAGATCTGAATATTGATCAATCCTGAAGTACTGACGGCCAATCTAATTTCTTAAGGTCCAAGAATGTCAGAACAGTACAGATATCCCCCTAATGACCCCTTTTTGCAAACTAGACAGCCCGACGTACTTCATAAGAGGCATGGCGAGTTTTTTGAAGTTGTAATTTTTTTGTCATAATTTTTCGGAAAATGAAAAAATTAAACAAATTATTTTCACTATTTTTTTTTTATATACTGTCACCAGTGCAGTACAGCGTCATCATATAACTGGCATGGCGGTGATCAGGGACACTGACTGGTGACAGTACGAAAAAAAAAAATTATAATTTTTTTATTTTTTTTTGTTTTAATTTTTTATTACATTTTTTTAAGATTTTTTTTTCATATTTCACTATGACTAAAGTAGTATAATGTTACCATAGTAACATTGTACTACTTTGGGGAAGTAATCAGTATTTTTTTTTTTTTTTTTACACAATTTGCTTATAGCAAAGAATTACTTTGCTATAAGCAAACATTTACCTGAATGACATCGATTCATTCAGGTTTTTTTTTTTTGTGCTTAGTTGTGATTTGGCCACCGCTAACCACATGACACAGCTGGACTGTGATTGGCCCAGCTTGTGCATGTGATCGCTTTGACCATCACAGCTAGACACAGTAGTATACAATGGATGGCATGAAAGGAAGCCATCCATTGTATACAACTGTCATGTGACCTGCTGTGATTGGTCACAGCAGGTCACATGGTACTGGAAACAGGGCCAGTACACAGATCACGCCGCAGAGCGGCCCTGCGGGCAGGTGCACTGCGCATGCCTGAAAGGACTCCATATGTCGTCCATCCGGAGGGACAAGCTGCTCGCCCGGCCACCTTTGTGCTATTGGCTGGGCGGGAACCTGTTAACTAATCTTCAGGCCTAAAATGATTTTTTTTAAACCTGTGTGCAAAAAAACCCACAAATACAGCTCTGGCAGTAAATGGGTGAAAGTCAAGCAAAAGTCAGCACCTGGCAGGATCAAATAAAAAAAAATATGAAGGCTTTATTAAGAGATAGGGATAAAATGCAAACAAATCAGATCCAGGGGCAGACTGACCATTTGGAAACTCGGACACTGCCCGAGGGCCCGGGGTCAGTAGGGGGCCCCATGAGATGCCCCTGGTACCTTTTTCATAGGCTTTTTTGAGTTTGGGCAAGGACACAGGGGACCCATGATCCCCTATTGCCCGGGGGCCCCATGAGTTTTCAGTCCGCCCCTGATCAGATCCACTTACATGTGTCAGTGTATCAGCTTTTGTAATAGCCGAGCGAAAGGGTTCAAGGGAAACCTATACTGAAATAAGTATGGTGCTGCCATTGTGGTCTTCCTTCCGAAAATACCTAAGAGTCTATGTATGGCTCCAAAACTGACTCAGAAGACACACGCAGCAAGTGAAGTTGGAGCTTCTGATATGCAACCCTATTTCGTGTAAGCGGCGTAGAGAATATTTAAAGCCAAAGGATCTGTATTCCTCTGGAAATGCACCGGGGAGGAGTTACACAAATATCAAAATACCTTAAGGGGTGGATGACAATCTGGATTTGGTGTTCCTAGGAAGGCTGTATGTGCATGCAGACCTCCCTAGGTATTGCCCATATTATGCTGAGCCTCTATGATTGAAAGAACTGAAATCCAATGAATGAAAGGGGTGGCCAGGGACAGTCAGGCCAGGGAGGAAAGTGGTAGATGATGCTGGATGTCCTCCAGCCAGGAAATGAAGCAGGCTCTATCTGGCTTGCGGTTATGCTGCCTGTGGGAAGCTACAAGCAATTTTAGTATAGAAGAGAAGCCTGTACAAGTGTGCTGGACTGAAGGTAAAGCTGGAATTCAGTTTATAACCGGTTGCTAATGATTCAAAGCAGAATGGCACCTTTAACCATTTCCCCACCGCCCTATAGTACTACTGCTACAGGGCGGCAGGGCTGCACAAAATCATGTACTATATATATATATATATATATATATATATAGCCATTGGAGGCTAGGCATGTCAAACACCGGGTCCCAGCCAGAGATTCCCCGCCGGCAACCGGCGATCGCCGTGCAAAGCTGACGGGTGAGACCTGTGTGTAAACAACACAAGTCTCTCTCCTGTCAGCAAGGACATGCTGCTTTGTATCTCTCTCATTAGTACAGTGTCAGTGCTTTTTATTAACACTGATCACTATATTAGTGTCACTGGGGATATCAGTGGTAATCATTTCCCCCCTTGCCGTGTCAGAATGCCCGCCGCAGTCCTGCTATAAATCGCTGATCGCCGCAATTACTAGTATGAAAAAAATCCAGTATATATACCGCCATTTGTAGACGCTATAACTTTCATGTAAACCAATTAATTTACACGTATTTGGATTTTTTTTTTTTTTTTTAGCAAAGACATGTAGCAGAATACACTTTGGCCTAAATTTATGATTTTTGGAATTTTTATATTGGACATGTTTAATAACAAAAAGTCAACAATATTGTTTGGATTTTTTCAAAATTGTCGGTCTTTTTTTGTTTATAGCACAAAAAATAAAAACTGCAGTGGTGATCAAATACCACCAAAAGAAAGTTCTATTTGTGAGAAAAAAAAGGACGTAAATTTCATTTTGGTGAAGTGTTGCATGACCGAGCAATTGTCAGTTAAAAAAACGCAGCGCCGTATTGCAAAAAATGGCCCGGTCAGGAAGGGGGGTAAATCCTCAGGAGGGCAAGTGATTAAACATCCCTCAATGGCTGTATCTGCGGTCACTGGAAATGATAAGCACAGTAAACGTCAGGGACCTCATAATGCAGTCAGCTGTATGCCAGCAACATCTTCCCATAATGCCTCCTGCAATCATAGATGTGATCTGAGCATGTGATTCCGTACAGAAGGAGAGAGGCAGCGTGTGTGTGATTCTAATTTCCTGTTTGTCCGTCCTGGAATAAGTCTTATCTGACAGGCTCAGCCTGGAGCTCCCATACAGGAGTTATAAAACCTGTAGTAGGATTTATAGAATTATGCCGGATACCTCGCCTTGTATTAACTATTTTATAAACTAGCTATGAGATCATATGATGTCTGAACGGAGTTTGCAGAACACAATAGAGCACCACATCACATGAAAGTCCTAATGAGATCACTTAGAAAGTCTGGAAATCCCTTATCGGGTGCTTTCCAGTGCAGGAGATCCTGGTGTGGAGCTTTCAGTGCTACAAATACAATTCTAAATTTCTATAAAGTGTTTCTAAAATGCAAGGATCCTAAATACTAAAGCACACCCTAAAGCTGGTCATAGATGGATCGAAATTTGGTTGGTTCAGCAGAGTTTTGGTCCATTTGTGACTGTTCCTGTTCAACAAAAGTTGATCGTTAGATTGCCTTCTGTCGAGTGTATTGGAAACCTTTTGGTGATCAGTAACTGCAGCTGCTGATCAGTGTATTCTGAGAACAGAGTTCCGCTGCCAGAATACAATGTCCTTGCTGGGGGATTACTCCACCCACCTTCTTTGTGTGCTTGAAGGAATCGCTGGACTCTTTGCTTGTAATGAATTAGATTTGGTACATTGTGGAGAACCTACTAAATAAGGCTGGGCTGAGGTGGACACTGTGAGTAATTTGAATGATCCCTAAACTTTCAGTCCTCTAAACCTCAGAAATTCAGGAGTCAGGATTGAGCAATGCACAGGGTTCAGAGCCTGAGATCTGTGCATTGCTTAATCCTGACCCTTACTCTCTCTAATATGATGTTACATAATCCTGACCCCTGCTCTCTGTATGTTAGATAATTCTGACCCCTGCTCTCTATACGTTACATAATCATGACCCCTGCTCTCTGTATGTTACATAAACCTAACCCCTGATCTCTATACATTACATAATCCTGACCCCTGCTCTCTATACATTACATAATCATGACCCCTGCTCTCTGTATGTTACATAAACCTGACCCCTGATCTCTCTACGTTATATAATCCTGACCCCTGCTCTCTGTATGTTAGATAATCCTGACCCCTGCTCTCTATACATTACATAATCCTGACCCCTGCTCTCTGTATGTTAGATAATCCTGACCCCTGCTCTCTATACATTACATAATCCTGACCCCTGCTCTCTATACGTTATATAATCCTGACCCCTGCTCTCTATACATTACATAATCCTGACCCCTGCTCTCTATACATTACATAATCCTGACCCCTGCTCTCTGTATGTTAGATAATCCTGACCCCTGATCTCTATACGTTATATAATCCTGACCCCTGCTCTCTATACATTACATAATCCTGACCCCTGCTCTCTATACATTACATAATCCTGACCCCTGCTCTCTGTATGTTAGATAATCCTGAACCCTGCTCTCTATACATTCCATAATCCTGACCCCTGCTCTCTGTATGTTAGATAATCCTGACCCCTACTCTCTATACATTACATAATCATGACCCCTGCTCTCTGTATGTTACATAATCCTGACCCCTGCTCTACTCTGAAGCCTGCCATTGGTAGCTGATCACATGACTTACAGCACCCTTAGATTAGGTAAGTATACACATCTTTTCCTTACAGGCTAGTTAGTGTAGGGTTTAGGATGGGTGTGGGAGTAGGTTCAAGCTTAGGTTTAGAGTGGACTTCTACTATAATTGTCTACAATTTATTCCATATATTAAAAAAAGTGTTACAATTAGGGATGAGCCAAACATACATGGGTTTAGTTTGAGGTGGATTTAGCAAAAGGTATGCAAGTTCAGGTGCTGAACCTGAACGCCATTGAGATCCATAGGAGCTGAATGTTTAAAACCAGCAATTGTTTTTCTAGACCAGTGTTTTTTAACCTTTTTTCAACCAAGGCACACAACACAGAAAATGTCTGACCTCTGTGATTGCCAAGAAGGGATTTGCCACCAAGCACTAAGTCATGTTTTGTGAAGGGGATAAAAATACTTATTTCCCTCATAAACATGCAAATCAGTGCATCATTTGTTAGACATGCATTTCTTTTGAATTTTTTGTTGCTATTCTGTCTCTCAGTTTTACAATACACCTACCATTTGATTTTTAGACTGATCAATTCTTTGTGAGTGGGCAAACATTCAAAATTATGTATATATATATATATATATTTATTTATTTTATTGCTATGTGGTTTTTATTACTTTATAAATGCTGTGCTGCACTTTTTTTTCCTTTTGTATTCTGCTTAGACGTTGCCCTGCTAAAGTTTGGCCACAGTGTAGGTACAGTGCAGGGTACCCGTGATTTCCATGCACATTACAGGCAATGTGTGAGCAGCGTACAAAACAAAAAGAAGTTCAGCACAACATTTAGAAAGCAATGAAAACCACACAGCAAACAAACTAAAAGCCATCAGTGCGTTTTCCAGTTTACAGAAATGCACTACAGTCCATTTAACATGGTTTCTTATGGATCTAGTTTACATCTAGTTTGCATTTTGAGCTGGTGCTTTTTTTGGAAATTGTCAGGGACTACTATTTTTCCTGCAGCACATTGTGTTTTGTGTGTAATAGATTTCAATGGACTCACACCAAAAACTCAAGTGTCGCGTTTTTGATTTTTTTTTTTTTTTCGCTAATAGGAAAGTATAACAGTTCTTTCATGTAGTGCGACATTGATGTGACTTTACACTCTCTGGCACTCAAGTAGCATCAAAGTAGTGCTGGAAGCTTTTGTGTGTCCAAAATTGAATGTTGGGGGCTAGGGTTAGGATTAATAGCTAGGGTAAGGGATAAATGTTAGGATTAAAAGCTACCCTTAACCCTATATCTAACATTTAGCCCTAGCCTTTAACCCTAACCCTAGCCCTAACATTTATCCCTAGCCTTTAACCCTAACCCTAAATCCTAACCCTAGCCTTTAACCCTAGCCCTAACATTTAGCCTTAGCCTTTAACCCTAACCCTAACATTTATCCCTAGCCTTTAACCCTAACCCTAAATCCTAACCCTAGCCTTTAACCCTAGCCCTAACATTTAGCCTTAGCCTTTAACCCTAACCCTAACATTTAATCCCTAGCCTTTAACCCTAACCCTAAATCCTAACCCTAGCCTTTTAACCCTAGCCCTAACATTTAGCCTTAGCCTTTAACCCTAACCCAAAATCCTAACCCTAGCCCTAACATTTAAAACCCTTACCCTAAATCCAAAGCCCTGTGCATAAAAAAAAAAAAAGCATAAAAGCAAAAGCATATAAAATGTGTGTTAAACACAAAACGTGCCAGAAAAATGCATCAACCGCAACCTAACCTAGATGTAAACCTAGCCTTAAAGAGAAGCA